AGTCGGGTCCAACTCAATGGCACATAACAACAACAACAACCACCAAAAGGTTGGCTGTTTGAACTCACCTAGAGGTCCCTTGGAAAAAAAGGCCTGATCTACTTCTGAAAGGTCACAGCATTTAGAACGTTATGGAGTGCAGTTCTGCTCTGCAACCTAGGGTCACCATGAGTTGGAGTCAACTCCATGGCAACTGGTTTGGTTTTTAGTTTGGTTAGGATAGTAATCATGACTTTAAAGTGAGACTGGACGGCATGGTTCTGTGTGTTTTCCTCCAGCCATGTTCAGCTGTGCAATATGCAGGAGAAAAATGGGCAGAGATTTGGATTAGCCATGACTGCACTCACTGTAAGTAGCTCTGGTGCCCTAGTGGTGAAAACAATTGGCTGCTAACCAGAAGGTTAGCAGTTTGAACCTACCATCCGCTCTACAGGAGAAAGATGTGGCAGTCTGCTTCTGTAAAGATTTACAGCTTTGGAAACCCTATAGGACAGTTCTACTCTGTCCTGTAGGGTCACTATGAGTCAGAATTGACTCGAGAGCATTGGGTTTTGGGTATGGTGCTCACTGCTTGCCAGTTTGCTTTTTCTTTTCTCTCTCTTCTTCCACGTTCTTCTCTTTGTGAATATTAAATTAAGGTTGCATGCCAGAGCCCATGCCATCAGTCCATATAGCAGGAGGTGTGAAAATCAACTGTGGGTAATACACAGCCTGGTGGTCTTAGAGTCTGGACAGGAAAATGACACTTGCTGGGTAGTTCCACAGAGGGAATTTAACACAGGGAACTTGTTACAAAAGTGTTCGAAGAACCGAAAAGGTAATCAAGATGGTAAGGGAACTGTCTGGCAGGAACTGTAATCATGTAAGAGATGCAGCCACTTCTTGAATCATCTTCTAAAGCAGAGAGAAGGGGAGAAACACCCTGGCTTCTCCACTTTCCATTTTTCAGTCTGCCACTAGAGCCCCCCAAGGCCAGATGACAAGGGAGACTGGGAAATGTAGTTTGTAGGTGCCAGCCTCTGCAATGTAAAGCAGAGTAGGAGAAAGGTCAGGGATGGATCTGAGAGCAATCAGCCAAAGGACTGGCACCATGGGAAGATAATAGTTGGCTTACTTAAAAACAATGAACTATCAGACCTGGAAGGAATTTGAAGGTCACTTCATCATTTTATGTATTATCATACAGCACCACAATGAAGTGATGTACCAATCAGTAGCAGAGTTGAGATTTGTGGTAGTTAAGGTTGTGTGGAGCTCTGGTGCCATAGTGCCTAAGGCGTTTGACTGCTAACCAGAAGGGTGGAGGTTCAAACCCATCAGCCGCTCCTCGGAAAGAAGACTGGGCAATCTACTTCTGTAGAGATACTGCCTTGGAAATCCAAGGAGGGTTCACTATGAGTCAGAAATGACTCAACGCCAGTGAGTGAGAAGATCGTGTGCCAACTTGCCTGGGCCTGGTTGTGAGTGGCTGGGCAGCTGGATATAGTTATGCCCCATGGTGAGATTGGTAATTCCATGATAGGATCTATTGTAGCAGCTGAGTAGCTGCTTTTGGGATTTGGGCCGCTTCCCGTATATAAGCAGCAGCTATGGGAATGGTCTGTAGCTTTTTGGCACACTTGAATCCTACATGTAGCCAAGTTGTTGTTCGGCAGCCTGTCATGCCCTGCTGATCTTGAGACTTTTTCTGGACTTGAATTAGTGGCCTGCCATGTTGTTTGCTGATATGGGGACTGTGCCTTTTCACTTGTCGTCTTTGGGTTTGTCAGCCTCAGTAGCCAGCAGCTGCCTGAGTGAAGAAAAGCCTCTAGTGTCAGTGGGCCAGGAGCAAGAGGCAGAGCTGAAGTCCAAGGTCAAGGGGCTTTCACCCAGCCTCTAGAGCCTGGCACTTTGAATTTGGACTTCTGGTTTCCAGAATTGTAAGAGAATAAACTCCTGTTTGTTCAAGCCATCCCATTTGCGGTCAGTTCCTTTCAGAGCGGTACTAGGTAACCAGACAAGATTGGAACCCAAATCTCTTATCTTGCAGAGCACTTTCTCTTCTTGTACTCTCAGGGCTTTCAGATTCCAGGGGAGCAGCTTCCTAGAGTTGGGGTGAAGTGGGTTAGGGACCTGGAGTGCTGTCTCCTCACCTCTCCCATCACCATAGCTGCTACTCCTTGAGAATTTCACAGGTGACCCAAGGATCCTGACCTATTTTCTCTTGCTGATACCATTGCAGAAGGATGCTTAGAGGGCTGGGAAGTACAGAGTGCTTCCGGGCTCAACACAGGGAAGAGACAGGGAGCGGACAGGCCTTTAATCCACCTTAGGCACGCACTCCTACAAGACTCCTCAGGCTTTCAGGCCTGGCTATGCTGTGGGTCATGCAGCCTTGAGCAGTGGTCTCAGGTGGTACAACTTGGCCATCAGTGTTCATGGTGGGCTCTGACAGGTGATGGTGATATCATCCATCTTGCAGCTCTGATTCCTTGCCCAAGACCTACAATACATGACCTAGCTCTGCAATCTCAGTCCCAGGAAGGCCTTAGGGGACCCCCCCTTTTTTTTTTTAAACAATTATACATTTTATTAATCTTATATCTTTCATGATTGAAAAGAGCTGCAAATGTTACAATACAACTATGTTGTTGTTATGTGCCGTTGAGTCAGACCCGACTCGTAGGACTCTTCCTTGGGTTTCCGAGGCGGTATCACTACAGAAGTAGATTGCCCAACCTTCCTTCTGAGAAGTTTATTATTATTATTATTATTTTAAATAACTGTCAAGCCTTTAATCACTTACTGTGATAGTATAAGCAAGAGGTCAAACTTGAACAGAATGTGTTGACTCCCTCATTCTATATTTCCTTAGGAATAGTGGCTGGGCAAGGATCAGATGGATTAGCACAGATGTGGAGAATGTCTCAGCTGAGGGAACTGAGAGGGGCCCTTTTTGTGAGCTACCAACATTTCCTGATGTCTTGAATTGGCTGATCTTACAATCACCTTGCTCATTCTTAGGTTTCTCTCAATGCTTGACTGAGGCATCTGGAGAACACACATCCTCTTCTTCAAGGTAGCATTAGCTGCAACATTTGCTTGGATCTCCTACTGGTTTCCACCCTATCGACCTCTGCAGTACCTGTGTTCCACATAAACACCCACCCATGGAGGTGGCTTTGTAAATGTTGGGGCAGCAACTCCTCTTGTTATTCTGCCTTTGTTATTGTTGTTAGGTGCTTGTAAGCAGATTCTGACTCATGGTGACCCTATATGTTACAGAGTAGAACTGAAGTCCATAGGGTTTTCAATGGTGGTGATCTTAATAGAAGCATACCACCAGGCCTTTCTTTTGTGGTGCAGCTGCTTGGGTTTGAACCACCACCCTTTAGCTTAGCTGTTGAGCACAAAGTATTAGCACTGACCAGGGACCTTTGATTTTGCCTGGAAAGCTTTAATATGTGGCCTCCTTGGAAAGGAGAGGGATCTGTCAAGATACCAAACCCATTGCTGTGGTGTCAATTCTGACTTACAGAGACCCTATGGGAGCTCTGGTGGCATAGTGCCTAAGGCATTTGACTGCTAACCAGAAGGCTGGCAGTTCAAATCCACCAGCCACTCCTTGGAAGGAAGCTAGGGCAATCTACTGTAGTGATACCACCTCAGAAACCCAAGGAGGGGTCACTATGAGTCGGAGTTGACTCTGTGGCAGTGAGTTTGGCTTTTTTGGTTTTTGTAGGACAGAGTAGAATTGGCTCAAAGAGTTTCTAAGGCTGTTAATCTTTACCTATGAAGGCTACCATATCTTTTTACCATGGGTCAAGACAACAAAAGAGTGTTACTTCAAACCGAGATCCCAATTGGAATACCCAAGCTAGAAACACGGAGTCATCCAAGATGGAGCCCCTTCATGGGTCCACTAGATACAATTTGTGGCAAATTCCTGCATTTCTTTTAACATTTTCCATATGTCTCATCTTTATGGCTCTGATCCATATCAGGCCCTCACTGGCTCTAGTTTTAGGTCCTACATGGATCTCCTACCCAGTGGTCCTGCCTTCAGTCTTGCTGACCGCTAAATACCACCAGAGACATTGTTCCAAAAATCAAAACATTTTGCTGCTTTCCAGCCCAAACCCTTTAAAAGTGCCTCATTGTTGCCAACAGGACAAAGTTCAAGCTCCATAGCCGGGTTCATGAAGCCTTCCGTGGCCTGCCCCTGCTGACCTGCCTACCTTGATTGTTGTTGTTGTTAGCTGCCTGACTCACGGTGTCCCCACGTGCAACAGAACAAAATGCTGCTCAGTCCTGCATCACCCCCATAATGAGTGCAGAAGGGACTTGTTTTTAGAAATGGCTTGATTTTAGAAATGGATCCCCCCTTTCTTCTTAGCCCTTCTTAGTCTTGAAGCTCTGTTGAAACCTGCTCAGTATCATAGCAACATGCAAGCCTACCTTATCTCTCCCTAAACTTCTGCCCTCCTTAACACCTGCTGGTCTTCAAAGTCACTGTGTTCTTTCACCCCTGAGTGCCTTTGCTCTTACTAATCCTCTGCCTGGAATTTGCTTCCTGCTCCAGCCTGCTTGGTGCACATCACTTTTGAGAATCATACAAGTACAACTTCCTCTATAACACCTTTCCTGATGTCTTCCATAGAATTGACCTGCCTCCTTTTGCACATCCATTGCACCTGTGATAGGTGAGGGTGTGAGGAGTGTGATGGAAACATTGTGTGCACACTGCTCCTGACCCCCCAGTTGTGCATCCTTTCATTGCTGTGCTCCTGGTACCTCACCCAGTGCCTGGTGCCTAGCAGGTGCTCAGTCATTTTCTTCTATTTGTGCTGAAGGAGAAGCTGGTACATGGGAGGCCCTGGAAGGATTTTGGATTTCCAAATAGCAAAGGCTGAAGGCAGAAATGGGGCTGTGAGACTTTATTTATTCAGAGGAAAATGTCCTCCCATACTTCACCAGTTGCTTCCTGGAGACTCTGTGGTGGGTCTTAGGCAGAGTGACTATTACTGGGATGACTCCTCTTCCAGCTGTAGCTGAAGGAAAACACCTGCAAGAGTAGAGTGAGTTGAGTGGCAGAAGCTGGGGCAGGGATGGTAGCGCTGATGAACTCCGGGTTTCCCATCACAAAGATCCTGCCCTTGTGCTACCAGTTGGATGAGCCATAAATAGGAAAAATCCTTGTTGGGTTGCTCCACATTTTTCCTGTGTCCACAGTAGGTGCCAAATCCCACCCCTAAAATGCTGGACCCGAGTTTGAAATTGGATCCTTAGCATTCTTCCTTCCTTTTATTCTGGGGTGGGTGGTGAAGGATGTGAAGGCAGAGGCTGAGGACCTCTTTACCTGAGGACTTGGCATAAACTATCTGCTGGTCTCTGCTCTGGGTGATACAGGAAATGTAAATCTTCTGGTCCTCAATCTTTTCCACTTCAACATTCAGCACAGCCAGTGAGCCCACTGGGATGAGACTGGGAGAGGAGCCTGCTTAGCCCATTGCTCATGTGGATACCACCCCCATTCCTCCACCCTCCCTTCGCCTCCCTGTCCTTGTGTTCATCCCACAAGGGCTCATAAGTTGCTCTGGCCTCAGGCCCTCTCTTCCAGCTCCCAGAGTCCTGCAGCACAGGTTGCATTCTGGCCAGGGACTAGAAGGATTGCTTGGAAGTGGGCTGAGGAGGGAGAGTGGCAGGCAGTGTCCCTGTGCCCCAACTGCTGAGGGTGGCCATCCCTCACTGATGAAAAGGACCATGACTTTGGCCAACACTCAAGGATCCATACTTACTTTTTGAACCTGATGTTGAGACTGAGTGTGAACAGGCCAATTCCAGCCAGGTAGGCAGTTTTAGAGAAGGTCTCATCCATCATGGCTGCTAGAGACCCTCCATGAGCAAACCTGGAGGAGGGATGAGGAAGAAGACTGGAGTTGCGGCTCTGGGTAGACTGCTCATTAGGCCTTCCCCCCATCCTAAGGTGGAACTACCCTGGCCTCACTCTTTCTCCAGACCCACCCACTGGCACTGAGTCAATTCCAACTTATAGTGACCCCTCCTTGGGTTTCCAAGGCAATATCTCTATGGAAGTAGATTGCCCAGACTTCCTTCTGAGGAGTGGCTGGTGAGTTTGAACTTCCAGCCTTCTGGTCAGCAGTCAAATGCCTTAGGCACTACACCACCAGAGTGCCTCCTTCCTTCCAAGCTCCTTCCTTCCGAGGAGTGTTATTGTTTGTTGTTATGTGCTGTCAAGTCAGACCCAACTCATAGCTACCCCTCCTTGGGTTTCCAAGGCACTATCACTACGGAAGTAGATTGCCCCATCTTCCTTCAGAGGAGTAGCTGGTGGGTTTGAACTGTCAGCCTTCTGGTCACCAGTCAAATGCCTTACCCGAGGAGTAAGATGGGGCATCTACTTCCATAGTGATACTGCCTTGGAAACCCATGGAGAGGTTGCTATGAATCGGGACTGACTTGACGGCAGTGAGCTTGGTTTGGTTTGAGATAAAGGAGGAGCTCTGGTGGTGTAGTCCCTGTGATGGTTATGTTGTGTGTCAACTTGGCTGGGCCTGGTTGAGTGGCTGGGCAGCTGGTAGTAGTTATTCCCCATGATGAGACTGGCAATCAGCTCCAAAGTGGGATCTATCACAAGCAGCCGAGTAGCTGCCTTTGGGATGTGGTCTGCTTCCTGTACATAAGGAGAAGTCTTGGGAATGGTTTCTAGCCTGTAGCATGCTTGGACCCTGCATGTAGCCGTGTTGTTGCTCAGCAGCCTGCTTTGCTCTGCCGACCCTGGGACTTAAAATGGACTTAAGTTAATGGCCTGCCATGTGGTTTGGTAACCTTGGGACTGTGCCTTTTTACTTGTCAACCTTGGGGCTTCTCAGCCTCAGCAGCCAGCAGCTGTCTGAGTGAAGAAATGCCTCTAGCTTCAGTGGGCCAAGGAGCTGGAGGCAGAGAGTAAGCCCCCAAGGTTGAGGGGCTTTCACCCAGCCCCTAGAGCCTGGCACTTTGAACTTGGACTTAAAGCCTCCAAATTGTGAGAATAAACTCCTCTTTGTTAAGGCCATCCCATTTGTGGTATATTTTTTGTCAGAGTGGCACTAGGTAACCAGAACAGTCCCTAAGGCATTTGAGATCCCTCCAAAAACAAACAGATCTTCAGCCTCAGGGCAGCCAAACAGGAAAGAGACAGAGCTGGCTCCCATGTGATCAATCCAATGAAACCGAGATTTTCTCCTTGTTTTGCTTTAGCCCAGTTAGCAACCACTGAGACATTTTATTTCATCAGCAAAAAAAAATTTTTTTCTAATAGAGGTAATGGAAAAAACAAGGGTGGCAACAATTGCCATTATTTGGAAGGCTGCACTCATACAGGAACTTTTTGTCATAGTCTTTGAAGCATGTCCATGGTCCATCTCTCACCTTAACAATCACTAGAGCATATGCTGGGCACACATTTTCAAGAAAGGTCAATGTGAAATGTAGCTTATAGCCTACAAAGTGCTGGGACAGTAGATATCTGAGTAGTGCTGCCTGTGGAAGGCCCACTTCTGTAAGATGCTCAAACATTGGCTTGATGTGAAATCCATAAAATTTTCTTTCTCGTTTGTGTAAGTTGACTATCATTCCAAAGCTACTTCATTGTTAGGTACCAGTTGCTACTGAGTTGATTCTGCCTCATGGCAACCCCATGTCTGTCAGAGATGAACTCTGTTCCATAGGGTTTTCAAGGGCTGTGACCATTTAGACCTTTAGAGGGAGCTCTGGTGGCATAGTAATGAAGGCATTTGGCTGCTAACCAGAAGGCAGGCAGTTCAAACCCACCAGCCACTCCTCGGAAGGAAGATGGGGCAATCTACTTCTGTAGTGATACTGCCTCGGAAACCCAAGGAGGGGTCGCTATGAGTCGGGAGTGACTCAATGGCAGTGAGTTTGGTTTTGGTTTGACCTTTTAGAAATAGATCATCAGGTCTTTCTAGCAAGGTGCTGCTGGGTGGACTTGAACCTCTAATCTTTCACTTAGCAGCCAAATGTGTTAACTGTTTGCAGCACACAGGGACTCCTGATTGTTAGGTAAATCAGGGAAAATAGAAAGGCACACAACTTTAGAATGCAAGCAACACAAAGCAGATTTGTGTTCCTGAATTTTCAGGAGCCCAAACCTGATTCTCCACAGACCAGGGCAGATGTCCATGCTCTGCTATCACAAGCCACCCTCCCGCATCTGCTACCAGTGAGCTTATTCGACCCTTGCCTCCCCCTTCCCCCACTTTGGTGAAAGAGCAGGGGGCTGTGGAACCAAACCAACCTGGTTTGACTCTTCTCTCTACCTGTGTACTCTTGAGCAAGTTGCTAATATGATGGTTAATGTTATGTGTCAACTTGGTTAGGCTATGATTCTCAGAATTCTGTAATTATGCTCCATTTTTTTGATCTAATGGAAGGGGAATTTCCTTGGGGGTGTCACCTCCATCCAATATATATAGATGTTCTGGCATAGCATAGCTTGAGCCTGCTTGTTCCTGTATCCAACTTGTCATCCTTTGACCTCTGGTTCTTAGGACATAAGCCAGTAGCCCTTCACCTGACCTTCAACCATGGGTTGCAACCAGGCTGATTTTGACCCACAGATTTAGGACTTGCCAGCCTCCCTAACTGTGAGCTACTTCCTTGAAATAAATTTCTGTATATACATTTATATATATACATGTCACTGGTTTTGCTTCTCTAGAGAATCCAGCCTAAGACACTAAACTTTCTGAACCTTAGTTTTTTCCATTATGAATAGTGAACAAAAATAATTCCTATGTCATTGGATTAGATAAGATAATGTTTGAAAAGCCTTATGTATACTTCTGAGCACTCCTCTTCCCACTCCCCAAATTTGTTGAAAGAGGGAAAGAGGAGCAAACTTCAGGCCTGCTTTTCCTTCCTTGTCCTCACTGGCTAGGTGGTGGACTCATTGGCAAGTTTGTGAATTCTGCAGAGTGACTCCTGGCCAGCCAGTAACACCCTCCCTACATTTCCTACAGGCTGGGTGGGTCCTATTGTCTTCTCTGGACACTACGCAGTCCACTGACTGTATTTGGCCCCAGGGTTGGATGGTCCTCTTCTGCCCCACCTCCATGAACCCCTAAATAAATCAGACACACTTCACCTCCATCCTTGCTTCCTTGGGGTTTTCCACTTAAGAATGGAGGTAACCTGTGGCCTGGATAGGGGTGTCTGCAGCACTAATTTGGAGAAGAGTGTCCCTGTGGAGGATACCTTTGGGATGACCAAGGCAGCCTGAATTCATGCCCAGCAGAAGTGCTGACATCTATTTTATTGTTGTTGGTTGCTGTAGAGTTGATTTCCACTCATGGTGACCCCATGTGTGCAGAGTAAAACTGCTTCACAGGGTTTTCAAGGCTGTGACCTTTCAGAAGCAGATAACCAGGCCTATCTCCTGAGGCACCTCTGGGTGGATTTGAACCACCAAGCTCTTTGGCTAGCAATAGCACTTAACCATCTGTGCAACCCAGGGATTCCTGACATCTGTTTAGCACTCAGAATTCTGAATTCCGTTTAACTGAACTCAGGCCTTGGAATCCTAATGCTGCCCTTCCCCCATCCTTCCCCCTCCCCATTTCAGGGGCTCTAGTACCAGCCACCGATATTGGTGATTGCCTTTATCAGGAACAGGGATGGAGAAGAAGATAAATAACCACAGACTTCATGGCCCAGTCGCATCAGGCAAGGGGCCCAGGGCCAGCCTAATTTCCCTTGTGTTGTATCATATCCACTCCCAGTTCCTTTCTAAGTCTATTCCAAATTTGGAGGCAGCGGAGTACAGTGCGGAGAGGGCCAAGGACTTGGAGTCTCAACTCCTGGAGTTGAGTCCTGGATCTGGCCTTGACTGCCTGTGCTACCTAGGGCAAGTTACCTTACTCTTCAGTTTCTCCAAAGGGAAAATATGGAGTTTGGGCCAATGATTTCTGATATCTATATTGTGCTTTATAGTTCATGAGCATGTACACATAGGCCCAGAATATTGTAACTCTCAGCCATCCTGGCAGGTAGATATTATTGCCCAGGTTTCAGGTAAAAAGACTGAAGGTCAGAGATTAAATTTCTTGCTTGGGGTCCCAAGCCAGCAGTGACAGAGCAGGACTGGACGCTGAGCTCTCTCAAGTCCAGATCATGCTTTCTTCCGAGTATACCACATTCTTCTCAAAGTGGCCTCTAAGGTCCCTTCTTACTGGAAAATTATGAGGCCTCAATAAGGAGCTTTCCTTTATCCTCACAACAGGCAATGGTCCAGATGACCCAGGACGTTCTTGACGTTGTGAAACTAAAGCCCATGTGCCCCCCATTCTATGCCCGGCTCCTCAGAGATGAGTGTAGACTCCAGGACTTGATGAGTGCCCACTCACCCTGCTGAGCCAAGCCCAGAAGGTTGCCAAAGACACCCACCTGGCCCTGCCTGTGGTCTTACCCTGGGGGTCCTTCCAGGTAGGGGCCTGGTTGGAAAAGACAGACAGATTTCTTCTTAGATGGATGGAAAAAGATGACATACTCATATCCTTGTCCTTCCATTTCGATGCACCTGGTGAAGAGGCGCCAGTCATTTTTGTCTGGGGAGAGATGGGCAATGTTGTAGCTGGAGAAGGGAGGCTATTGGAGGGCATTGGGCCTTGTAAGGATGCAGGGTTAGCAGTTCAGTACCGCAGGTTGAGTCCTGCCTTGGATACAGAGTCAAGGAAAGTAAATCAGTAGATACCACCCTTGTCCTCAGGGAGCCCTCAGTCACAGGGAGAAACATTCAGGAAGTTCTCTGGTTGAGGGTGAGCTAGGATCAGGGCCAGGTTGATTCTAAGTGGATTTCAGCACATTTGATTCAAAATAAAAACAACACTAAACAATAAAATAAGTGCAAGAAAGTCCACCAATGTTCTGACTTTTTTCCCCCCAAGGCAACTATAACCACTACGTGAATCCTTTTTTGGAAATAACAAATTGTTTTAAAATTTTATTTTGGTGCCTGCCCCAGCTGTAAACCTTCAAATAGTCTTCCTACTATTCCAACCAATTATTCAACAAATTATGGATAACATTGAGAAGGATGAGAATTCCAGAACACTTAATTTGCTTGTAAGGAACCTGTACATGGACCAGGAGGCTGTCATTAGAAGAGAACAAGGGGATACTGCATGGTTTAAAATCAGGAAGGGAGTGCTTAAGGGCTGTATCCTTTCACCATATTTATTCAATCTGTATGCTGAGCAAGTAATCCAGGATGTTGGACTATATGAAGAAGAGTGTGGCATCAGGATTGGAGGAAGACTCATTAACAAGCTGTAATGTGCAGATGAAAAACCTTTGCTTGCTGAAAGTGAGGATGAGTTTAAGTACTTACTGATGAAGAATAAAGACTATACTCTGCAGTATGAATTACATCTCAACATAAAGAAAATGAAAATCCTGACAACTGGACCAATACGCAGCATCAAAATAAATGGAGAAAAGATTGAAGTTGTCAAAGATTTCATATTACTTAGTTCCACAATCAACACCAATGGAAGCAGCAATGAAGACATCAGATGACGTATTGCACTGGGAAAATCTGCTACAAAAGACCTCTTTAAAGTACTGAAGAGCAAAGATGTCTCTTTGAAGACTAAGGTGTGCCTAAGCCCCACCCTCCCCACCGGAAAAAAAAAAACAAAAAAAACTCACTGCCATCATGTTGATTGAGACTCATAGCGACTCCTCTTTGGGTTTCTGTGGTAGCATCTCTAAAGAAGTAGATTGCCCAGTGCTCCTTTATGAGGAGTGCTGGTGGGTTTGAACCACCAGTCTTCTGGTTAGCAGTCAAATGCCTTAGGCACTACACTACCAGAGCTCCCACCCAAGCCATGGTATTTTCAATTGCGTCATATGCATGCGAAAGCTGGACAATGAATAAGGAAGACCATAGAAGAGTTGGTGCTTTTGAGTTGTGGTGTTGGCGAAGAGTACCGAAAGTACCATGGTGCAGTGTAGTAAATTACGTAGTGGGGCTTTTCTAGCCATAAATCTCCGTAAACTCCATGGTGGAATTTTCTGTGAGCAACTGAGTAGCTCCTGATTGTTAAAGTTATCCACCTGGAGTATTTCTGTTGGGAGCTGTACAAAGTAATTTTCTGGGAAGTTAGCTCTCTCACAGGTGTATAGAATTCTGATGTTGGGATTGGTTAGTTTGCCACTCTGCCAGGCTCAAAAGGAGTCCTCCTAGAGGCAGAAGAAATATCTCTCACTGCAAGCTGGGAGACACGAGAGACATACTGCTGAGAGAGAGATGCAACAGATGCATGCTGTGGAGAGAGACTGAGAGACATTCACTGCTGGGAGAGAGATTGTCAGCTGAGAGACAGCGGGATGAGAGATACTGAGTGTGTTCCTGAACTTGAATTGTAGCTTGTTGCTTCCCTAATGAACCCCATAATTTGTGAGTTGTGTGTGGCCACTGTAGTGAATTATTGAGCCCAGCAGAGAGGTAGTGTGTGTTGCAGGAGGAATAGTTGGTGTCAGGGTTGGTGAAAGGGCTGGAAGGAGGCAGCATGTCTGGCCTTCCACGGTGATTTTGTCTTCCTCTTATGCAGTTAGAGGAGGTGAGAAGATGGTGCCTCCCTGCCCCTTTGGGACATGGACTGCCAAAAGAACTAACAAATCTGTCCTGGAAGAACTGCAGCTGGAATGCTCCTTGGAAGCCAGAATAGCCAGACTTCGTCTGACCTACTTTGGTCATGGTGTCAGACGAGCCATTCCCTGGAGAAGGATATCATGCTTGGTAAAGTGGAGGGTCAACAAAAACAGGAAAGGCCCTCAACAAGATGGATTGACACAGTGGTTGGAATGATGGGCTCAGGTATAGCAAGGATTGTGAGGCTGGCGCAGGACTGGGCAGTGTTTCATTCTGTTGTACATGGGGTCGCTATGAGTCACAGCCGACACCTAACAACAACAACACTGTTTGAACCATTACTGGGCAGGGAGACCACATATATGGATGAGAGAGAGAACACACACACACACACACACACACACAAGCAGGCCCACACCAAGAAAGATGAAGATGGAAACTCTATCAGTCTGGCCAGCGGGTATTTCTAGAGTGCCATTCTAGGCCTAGCACAGCCTGGGTGGAGTGAGAGGCCTGTGGTGGCCAAGGAGTTCCAGAGGCTTTTATGGGCTTGTTGAGGAGGACTTGGGATCAGGTTTAAAAGTAGAGGAAGAAAAACTGGTCAGACGTCAGCAAGGCAGAGGGCTGAGCTAGTGGTTTTCCTACAAGGATACACATGCCTGAGAGTGAAGGCAGGGCCCTCTAGTCTATGTTCTTTTTTGCAGCTAGGAGGAGTTTCGAGGGGGAAACACTCTCTACCTACCCTGGTGCTACAGCATGAGGGGTGGAGTTAGACAGAGGGTAGACCTTGCAGGCTGACAGCTAGAAGGGAGCTTGTGAATTTCCTTCCAGAGCAAGGGTCATATTGTTTGTTGACAGGCACTGTCAGGCTGAGCCTTACCTGAGGTGACTGCTAACCCTAACGGAAGCTTTAGTCCCTGGATGTGGTCTCTGTTGGACTTGAAGGAGGGTATCTTGACCCAGCTGCTGGTCTTGGTCTTCTCCAGAAATTCTTGGTACATGCTTAGCATGTCTGGACACCAGCTAGCATTGGGGAGGGCATAATCCTTCTTGTCTGTCTTCTCAGAACAGAATCTTGTGACCTGGGCAGGAGAATCAGGTGGAACTACACCGCTTCCTGAGAGATGGGGGTGCTGCTGCTTAGGCTGCAGGAACCTCCAAGCAGAGTCTGTTTCTGGGTTCTTGGCTCCTCAATCCCTCCCTGAAAAGTGTTAGCTTAGGGGAAAGGGCCCACCTTCCTTGAGAGGGAAGGGGACCCCTGTGGGTGTCTGGGCATGGGGATCCTAAAGGGCAAAAGAAGGGAAAGATTTGGGGCTGACAAGCACATGTGCCCTGTTTGAAAAATCTGTTGGAGTCTCTGATTGGTATGAATGGTTAGCTAATGTTTTCTGCTGCTAACTAGAAGGTTGGAGGTTTGAGACCACCCAGAGGTGCCTTGGAAGAAAGGCCTGGCAGTCTACTTCTGAAAAATGAGTCATGAAAATACTATGAAGCTCAATTCTACTCTGATACACATGGGGCTGCATGAGTCAGAATCAACTCCATGGCAACTAGAGGTGGTGGCAGCTCTTTGAGGCTAAGAACTGCTGTTATTAGCTCCCCTGTGCAGATGGGCTTAATCATAGTAACGATTGTAAGGATGGCACAAGACCAGGCAATGTTTTGTTCTGTTGGACACAGGGTCACTATGACTCGGAACCTACTCGAAGGCACCTAACAACACAACAGCATGCGGATGGGAAAGAGCTTTGGGGGTGTAGTTGTTAAGCAATAGGCTGCTAACCAAAAAGTCACGAACCCAGCAGCCATTCCATGGGAGAAAGATGCAGCAGTCGGCTTCTGTAAATATTTACAGCCTTGGAAACCTCATGGGGGCACTTCTACTCTGTCCTACAGGGTCATTAGGAGTAAGAATTAACTTGATGGTAATGGGTTTGGCTTTTGATTTATGCAGATGGGGGAACTGAGGAAATTACAGCTAAGATTGCCAAGCTTGTGTGTATGACAGTGGACAGTCATATAGGAGCCCATTCTGAGACACTGTCTGCCCTGGGGGATGAGCCACAGTTGGTGAGGGCCACTGTTACATACCCCTTGCCTCAGGGGCCCCTTAGACTCTGTCCACACTTGGAGGCCTGCCTGGGTAGGCCAGCTCCTTTGAACAGTCCGGCTCCTCACAGAGGTGTGGCACTACAATGTGGGGTATGATTGAGTTGCTTGCCAACACCACAGTCAGGGGACACTCATCTGAATTCTGTCCCAGGGAGGCCTCTGTCTAGGGATGCCCCAACTAAGCTCCAGCAACCTGAGCCTCAGAAGGGGCGAGTGACTCATTGGTGGCCACATGAGATTCAGTGTCCTGGTAGTTTTAGTCTTGGATCTGGACTACTTGGAATTCCCTTTGCCAAATCAAGTTACTCCCCAACATGCTGCCCACCCACCCGGCCATAAGCTGGGAAGAGGAGACTTGGGGTGCTCCTGCAGCCCTAGGCTCCCAGGAGAAGGGCTGCCCATTCTAGCCAAGCTGGGAACTCACTTACCAGGGTGTCCGTGGAGAATCCGAAAGCCGAGACAGGGTGGAGGCTGGGCGGGATGCAGGGGGCACCAGGGGGTGCTCTGTGATGGCCAAGCCTTGCTGCTACCTGAAAGCCTCTCCTCATTGTGGCTCAATCCTGAGGAGGCAGCAGGGTGAGAATTTTCAGTTGTGCTGTAGGGCTGTCAGCACAGTTACCTCCCACCAGCCTCTCTCCTTTCAGCCAGCAAACTTTCTTTCATCTGCAAGATTGCACTGAGGAGAGATTGCATTTATACCTAGGGCAAGTCTGGGCTGGTTTGATGCAACACCTACTGTCTTAGTTATTTAGCTCTGGTGGCGTCATGCCTAAGGCATTTTTGACTGCTAACCAGAAGGTTGGTGGTTCAAACCCACTAGCCACTCTGCAGAAGGAAGAGCAGGCAAACTATTTCCATAAAGATTTACCACCTGAGAAACCCAACAGGGGTTGCTATGAGTCAGAATTGACTCGATGGCAGTGAGTTTTTTTTTTTTTGAAACAGAAATAGTGTAACTGGGTGGGTTTAACAAACAATTTTATTTTCTCATAGTTTAAGAGGCTAGAAGTCTGAATTCAGGGTGCCAGCCTAGGGGAAAGCTTTCTCTTTCTGTTGGCTCTGGAGGAAGGTCTTTGTCTCTTCTGAGATTCTTCTCGTGGGCAGTTTTCATGTGGTTTGGCATCTCTCTCCACCTATCTCTGCTCTGCTTCTGTGTTTAATCTCTTTTATATCTCACAAGAGATTGACTTGAGCCAAACAGCTACACCAGGGAGATGTATTCCTTAGAACAATCAGCCATGGGAGATCAGAAGAGCAGCATTTGCAATAGGGGAAAGGTAGGAAGGCAGGAATGCATAGGCAAGAAGGACACAGGGAAAGGGTAATGACAGGGAGGAAATGGGAAGATAGCTGTTACATTGCAGGGATTGTAATAAGTGTCATAAAACAAAATGTGTATGAATTGTTGAATGTAAAACAAATCTGCTTTGTAAAATTTGACTCGAATCACAATAAAAAGTTAAAAAAAAGATGGAAGAAAAAACAGTTACTGTACAAAAAAAAAAAAAAGAGAGAAAGATTGATTCAAGATATACCCTACACTAATCTTGCCTCTGGGAGCTCTGGTAGCATAGTGGCTAAGACACTTGCCTGCTAACCAGACGGCTGGC